TTAAGTGTGTGGAAATGAGGTACTGAGGGTGTGTTCACTTCATTGGAATAATTTTTTTACACAGCGATCCAAACAAAAATAAAAATATACAGGATGATGTAAAATTTCATGGGCTTTCAGAATATGTCGTTACTTTAAAAAGAATACGTCCTTTTGGTAACAATATCCTCAAAATACCGAGGAAAACTTATTTTTTCCAGGGGTATGTGTAGTTTTCTATATACATCATTGTATCACACGAGCTTTCTTAGACTTGAGTCTCGAACATGAAATGTTGAAAATTTGGTTTTAAAATTTTCTGCTGGATTCTGCTGGAGCTGAGTCTCTAGAAGTCGATTTTCAGGTTGAAAAACGCTTTATCTTATTTTTTACTCTGACGATTGAGTTGTAAAAAGTTGAGCTTCGTAGATAAAGTATAAGAAATTAAATTTCGCACATTTCATGTTCCAAACTCAAGTTTGAGAAATACTTTCTCTGTAGTGAAAAATTGAAAACTAGTTAAAAGAAGTGGTTTTTCAGGTTTTTCTCTATGAAGATGTTTTTCAAACTTGAGCCTGAAAATGAATTTTTTTTGTCCTGGAAGATGAAATGTAGCAAATTGAATTTCCTGAATTTTATCTGCTGAACTTAACTATGTACAACTCAATCTTCACAATGCAGAAGAATAAGGACTGTTTTCCACCATTTACAACAAGACGATTTCTTACTAATTGCATTTTGCTGGAAATCGCCTTACATTAGATGCAGCTTCCGATTTTAGTGAGGGGATGGAATGAAATTGACTTAGAACGGTGTTCAAGTAGATGAATCGATCCATATACCCCAAAATGCATTGCCCGACACATTGTACAGTGTATTAGGAGATTTCGCACATGTCTCATCTGGAGTCAATACACAATTAGATTCATCTCCCTCCCGATATATTGCCCGATGAACCGGGTTAAAATTATTTCAAATTTGACCAATTGGAGACTACATTTAGCTCGAGAAACCGATAGAAGAACAATTATAGTATGTAGAATAGAGATGATAAGTTTCCTATTTCGTGTACTTTTGTTGTATTTGAAAAGCGAACTGTTTTAGATAGATGTTTTAAAGAAATTTAAGCACAAATTAAAATTTCTGAATCTCCCTTCTATATTATATTCTTACCATAGAAGAATGAAGGAAGTACCAAGTGTCGACGATCTTACGCCTGCGAAAAATATCAGTAAAAATAAAACCTTCAATGGCAAGAAAAGATAATGGAATGTACCTATTTGTATGCAAATTCGTGGTAATTCAGCATGTGGTTTATATACCAGACAATCTGAAATATCAGAGTTACGAAAGATCTCACAATTCATTCAAAATCTTTTGCTTTTGACCCTCATTTTTCACAACCGATGGTTATTGCGTTTGTTTGTATAACATGACATAAAATGAAAACGTTAGGTGATAATATGCAAAGAGAACGATAGAAATTAGTAAAGTTATATAAAACAAAAAAAAGATACATTTGATATCGGATGAAACATCGAGATAATTACAATAAATGCATGATTACTCATAATTCTGGTGACTCCAAATAACTTTTCTTAGTATCATCCATGTGCGCAACTCGATGATGTAATTTTGCTTCAATTTTAGCGACCATAAATTTGAAAAAAGGTAAGAGTACTAGCTTAAATATGAGAAACACGAGACCAAATAGTTCGAGACAAACGACAGTGAACAGAATTGCGTGAAAGATCACCTCAGATTGTTTTGCGATTGGCGCTTGGGTATTGATTACATAATACGCTTTTTCACTCAGTTGGAGAGTTAATAATGTATTGTTACGAGTGTTGCCCACGTATTGTGCTTCGGTGAGGAACAATTGATCGGATACATAAGAAAATGTAGGAATCCACAATGCACTAAATACCGTTTTTTCGCCGTCGCTTAATGGTTCTGTAGCATTTATCATTCGGATAAATTGTAACAAAAGTGTCGCACTTTGAGATAATGTTCGATTTAACACTGTATAACTCTGCATGAAACCGAGTTGTTGAACAGTGTATTCTTCATTACTAGCAGAAGGTCCCGAAAGTCCCACACGAATACCTCCAACTGTCAGTAATCCATTCAAAAGCAACTGTATCGTGATCGTATGTAGTGGGAGTAAAACAGAGACAGAAATTACTGACTCGTTGGTGACAGTGCATGTTTGAGGCGAGATTACAAGCACAACAGTGCCGACCGTTTGTTGAATGATTAGATCATGACAGGTAAATAATGTGTTGACAAAATCAACATTGAGAATATATGGTTGTGCGTCTAACATATTGAATATCGGTTGGATATCATCACTCAGCGGAATACCTAACAGTTGCATTTGTGTACTAAATTTTGAATTACGCAAATTCGGAGAACAAGAAAACGTAGAATCACCGACACTTTCTATAGGATATTGTTTCAAATAGAGATTGCTAAACATGTAGGCAAATGAAACCAGAACAACAATCGAGAAGGATACTACTCCTCCAATCCACATTTCTCCTTCGCCAATTAGATCTGTTTGTTTGAACACAAATTTAATCGTTTCTCGAATATTCTTACACCGATGGAAAAACTTTAATGCACCCATCATAACGAGCAGCAATAGCGCAAAACCAAGTAGCAAAATAGTCCAAAACAAGGGAGACACAAGTAAACAGTGTTTCTGAAAACTTAACTGAAACATGTTCTGTAACAAAATATCATCGAACAAAGTATTTTCCGGTGATTGAGGATAAGCGAGAGCTTGAACAATGTTGTTCATGGCAGTACCGTCAACATTTGCAACAGATCCAAGAGGACAAAATGATGATGCATTACACGGAGCACACGCAATATACATATCACCGCCATTGTATGTACCTGGAGGACATAAAGCACATGGATTAGTAGATGTTTCCATGTGATAGGTACCGGGTAAACATTTTTTCTCGTTCGAATAGGCAAAATTAATTCCATGACCGCAGCCCGTATTCGTCACCGGATAATAACCGATTGTTGTTGGTCGAATGACGTAGACGGAACCGTTGACATCGAGTATCGCTAATCCGATTTTATCATTCGAAACAATGGTGACGAAGTTTGAACTAATGGTTGAACAAAGCGTTTTCCAACTATTTGGAAATGTAGAAAGCTGTATAAAATTGTTGTTGATGGTTATTTGATAAAGCAGAACTTGAGATAAAACTAAAACAGCAGCCTTATTATTTCCCATCCAAGTAACTGCTTTTACACGGATGACAATCGTGCTTATTAAGTGAAGTGTAGAATAATTGACACCCAACAAAATAACTTTATTCATTGACGAAATACCCCATAACACTTGACCAACATGATTAATTTTAACTGACATAGCATTTGTACTATTATCTGAACTGTTGTACATAAATGTATCAGCAACGGTCATGCACATCTGAAAACTATTTGTCACACACGAATTGAAGTAGACCAAGTAAACAGTTGGTCTCAATCCAACATAACCTACAATTACGGCAAAATTTTGACTGATGTCAACCGCATAAGGGACAAATGTTGAGTGTTCGTATGTCATATTACTGGACCAAATTTCGTGGACGTGACTTCCCGGTTCCCACACGATTATAAAATCAGATGAAAAGCCGAACAGAAACTGTCCAGTCGGTTCAACGACTAGTACATAATGCTCTTGGTGGGTGAAATTAAAAAAGAAAATATCAGGTGAATTAAACGTACAATTACTTAATACAGTTATCGAACTGATAAATAGTTCCTGTGTATCACCATTCTCACCAATGTAAGCAAATGATGAGAGGTTTGAGTTTTTTGCGAGTGCAACGCTGTACACATATAAGTTAGGGAATATAGTAAAATTAGAGATACACGTGCTAGTCGAATTGGTGGGTGTGAATTGTACAGCAAATTGTTGTCGGCTATTGTAAACTTCGACAATCATGACATCGTTGACAGCTATTTTCGATCCGTAAGCGCTATAATCGCTCATATTTGGATTGAATCGCGAATACACAGAAGATATGACGAGTGCAACGAAAACGATGGAATAGAACATCATGTTGTATGGGTGCGTGCGAATATATATTGTTAAAAAGTACAATTTTCTCTTGAGAATACCTATAAAAATGAGACAGTAATCATCAAATGACATGAAAAGAAGTTGTTGCACAAAACTTTTCCGTCGAATGATAGCTGAGAAAACATTATTTTTCAGTGCTTCAAATTCTCTTCTAACTGAACGCACCAGTGTATGGATCTTATGAGAAAACTACCTGGCTTCGACACGTCGCTCTGCTAATGCAATGGTATTTCGTAAAGTTTTATTTTGCACTTTGTTTCTTCTATAATTTTTGAATCTGAGCATGCCCACCTCTGCAGCATCATAAATTAAAGAAAAAGTGTAGAGTTCTGATTGTGCTGCTATTCAAAAGTCATAGAAGAAACAAAGTGCAAGAGAAACACGACGGCATGACATCGCGGTAGCGGAGCTATGTGACCGAATTGTATCTGGAAACCTAACCAGTCTATTTCAGTTAGACATTCTGACACATACATCATCAAGTTATAAGTTGGATAATCTGATAATTACCGTAATTTGTTTCATTCTCTTCAAAATTTAGACTAGCAACGTGCGGTCGCGCACAAGTCAGGCCGTAGTTCTTGCACATCACTATCAAATATACCTTTTCTTGATGGATATTATTGTTAAGCAGTCGTACAAAAGTTTTAAACACAAGAAATAAGCGTCTTTATTAAAATGTTTTTTTTAAAAAATCGTCGTAGATAATCCCGAAACAACAGTTTTCCTCAATTCTACTCTTTCGTTTTTATACAAAACTTCATACAGTTTAATACCTTACTTCAGCATATATTATTTATTGTGTTTAAAAATACTTCTAAATTGAGAAAGAAAACTTTGCATAAAAAATCTGGAGCTGCTAGAGAACTCATTGTCGGATTTAGAGACATTACTCCGTCAATACTGATGTATCAGGCTCAGAACAGCATCGCATGAAGTTTGAACAATATTGAAACTCAGTATACGTTAGATAAATTCGTTGATATTATTACTTATAACATTAACAAAAGCCTTCCCAGGTTCCATGCAAGAAATTTAAGAAGCTTTTCTTGTAAAATCTCACTTTAGATCCTTACTCTGAAATGTTCATTTTATTGTCTATCGAATAAAGGCTGATAAAATCTCATTTTTTTCCATCACCACAAAATCAGGCATCAGTATCCCAGTCAACCATATTTTCAATAGGTCTTTGGAAAGAAATTTGATATGAACCTCATGATTCACAAATATTGATCGCTATTGTAATGTTAATCTACTCTTGAAGCGAAGCAGAAGAATTTTACTTTAATTTAGTTTTATAGCCGTTTATCAGTTGTACTGGTACCCGGTACATTGTCACTCCTGTAGAGTTTTTTAATATGTACGGTATAGAACTATCTCGCGTGGTAAAGCTTCTAGAAACATTAGTACCTTGTTGCCTTTTGCAATGGGTACAGCTTTTTTTAGAACAAGATTACTGAATAATAGTTTTCTTTGATTTGAAAGTACATTGGCACCCTTGACTATAGAGACCTGCACGGGTAAAGAAAACGTAACCCGAACCCGATCCGACTCGACAAGGATTGAAAAATAAAAAAATAAAAATAATCCCACAAGAAAACTGTTTTTGAGAAAAAATATCGATTTACCTTGTTAAACAAAACTTTTTCGGTGCATATTGGTTAATCTACTGAAAACTTCCTTGTAACATATCCTTAATAGATTATCTTAACCGAGATGATGACCACATCCTTTTTCTCATTAGTCAGCCAGTATCATCCAATAGTAAGATAGTACGTAGAGAGCATTATGGTAAAGTAACTTTCAAAGAGTAACAAAATTAAAATTGTTATCTGTATTTTAAATTGCGCCCCAAAAGGTTCAATCTGAACCCAATCCGACCTTAGAACCGAGTTGCAGACCTCTATTCTTGACACATGACACAAGACAAATTTCCGAAAAATAATGAACTTGTCGATTTCGATCTGTGTTTTAGCTATATCTCGGAGATGTGGGGAAGTGGAAAGGGGAAGAAATTTCTTCAGCGAATACTGTACGCTACAAAAATTTGTTGAAAGCTTCTTCAAAATAGGGTGTTAATTAAAAATGTTTCTTTCCTATGCAGCACACTTTAAAAAGAAACCGTAGCTTAGAATACCCGAAAAAGGGGTTATGCATTTGGAACCATACGAAACATCTGTCCATTTAACACTAAAAGTGAAAGACTCTTACCGTTTTTTTAAACTGTACTGTAACAGCCTGTAAAAAAACAGATAAGCGTCGGCTATTGCTTTCTAAATGGACAAATGGATTTCTATTAGGTGGAATGTCAATACCTTTGCCGCTTGCAGTGACCCACAAACACTAAAAACAATATGCTTTAATATGTACATTGTGCGCTTTACACTTAAGTTCAAAAACGTCATATGATAATCCAGCATCCGACGGTATTTAAGAGGATATTCGCAAAGTTTTTACGTTCTGCAAAACTGAAATGCGCTTCGTATAGCTGCAAATGCGCTCTCTCTCTAAAACATTGTTTATCGGAATTCGATACTACATTTCAGGTTTCTGTAAACTTGAGAACGTATCCTATCAGAAATTCAGATTTTATATAGAAAGTTAATCTCAAAGTATATTATCCAGTAGCAAAGAACATTGAATCTCAGAATTCATACTGTTTTTGCCAATATCAAAGGTTCCTAAAGAAGTTTCCTAAAAATCTAAACTTTATCTCACAAGATTATGCACAATCTCGCTAATCAAGTTATCTATGACCACTGTTACTTTTGAAGAGTTTTAACACACTAGGTCACGGTAACTTACGAGAGAAGGTCCTAGCTGATACCCCCCCGATTTTGATGATCTTTTGCTGATAGATATCATGTGACGTTGTCTTAACCTCCAAAGGATTTGGTTGTTCTTCTTTTAAAAGTTATAGATTTTTTAAGATTGGTCCCTGGAGATTCTAATTCATCATTGTTTACTTTCCAAAATTTGCCCACATGTGTACTGACCAGCCAAATCTTTTTAGGGTGAGTCTATTGACACTCCCAGGAGTGTCAACAAGGAGCTATTGCCACGCCCAGGCGTGTCAACAAGAAGCTATTGCCACGCCCGGGCGTGTCAACCAGAAGCTATTGCCACTCCCTGGGCGTGTCAACCAGAAGCTATTGCCACTCCCTGGGCGTGTCAACAAGAAGCTATTGCCACGCACAGGCGTGTCAACAAGAAGCTATTGCCACGCCCGGGCGTGTCAACAAGAAGCTATTGCCACTCCTTGGGCGTGTCAACAAGAAGCTATTGCCACTCCCTGGGCGTGTCAACAGGAAGCTATTGCCACGCCCGGGCGTGTCAACCAGAAGCTATTGCCACTCCCTGGGCGTGTCAACCAGAAGCTATTGCCACTCCCTGGGCGTGTCAACAAGAAGCTATTGCCACGCACAAGCGTGTCAACAAGAAGCTATTGCCACTCCCTGGGCGTGTCAACAAGAAGCTATTGCCACACACAGGCGTGTCAACAAGAAGCTATTGCCACGCCCGGGCGTGTCAACAAGGTGCTAAGATGAAGAAATCTTCTGAATATTTTCCTTGCGGTTCATAGCAAGCAGTTTTATACATTTTCACAGACTAACTGAGTATAACTATAAACAATATTTTCTCTATTGAGATTCATACCTATATTTCACTTTTATCAAAAAATATACCCGTCCGCATAGATTAACATTTTTTTTCCGATAGATATTTTCTTATATAAAGGCATGATTTATCTTTATTTCTTCAACGTTTCCAGAGAGCTTCACTTCAAGACTTTGGAAAACAATTCGAAAGCCATCCGTCTTTTCTCTTCACTACTTTTTCACTATACAGTTTTCCTTAAAAAATAAATATTAATATAAATACTATATATATAGTAGTGTGGAAGTCAAAAGTTCAATTCAACTATTCCAACTATTCAGCTATTCAATTATTCAAGTGTTAATTCAATTCTACATTCACTCTCACCACCCCTACTTCCCTCCGCCCCGACCTCCTGCCTCATTCATGTTCAAGTGGAAAATTTACCATCTCCAATGCAAAACTGGATAAGTATGGAACGTTTTTTACAACTGAATATTTGAAAAGTCGAATAGTTTCTATTTTATTCATTTTCAGAAGTAACGAGTTGAATGAATAGTTGAATAAGTGACTAGTTCAATAATTGAAATAATTTTTCAACTATTAATAGTTGAATTCAACTTTTGACTCCTGCACGTATGTACCAGTTGGGATTAGTGTGACAAACGAGGCACTATGTCTTCATAGACACGGCAAGGGAGTGGCAATAGCTCCTTGTTGACACGCCCGGGCGTGGCAATAGCTTCTTGTTGACACGCCCAGGGAGTGGCAATAGCCTCTTGTTGACACGCCCGGGCGTGGCAATAGCCTCTTGTTGACACGCCCGGGCGTGGCAATAGCTTCTTGTTGGCACGCCCAGGGAGTGGCAATAGCCTCTTGTTGACACGCCCGGGCGTGGCAATAGCCTCTTGTTGACACGCCCAGGGAGTGACAATAGCTCCTTGTTGACACGCCCGGGCGTGGCAATAGCCATTCCGATCTTTTTAAACACCTATTCATATAGAGAAAAGTGTTTTCTTCAAAATGACACGTTGCTGAGCTCTGTGCGATATCCCCATGAAAAATCATAAGCATTTTTCTAAGTGCACCTGAAACTCTGCTTTTCTTTCGTTCCTCTACATCGATGTTTGTCTTGTAGTATTGCATAATTCCAAGGAAAATAAAAAATGTTTCCGAAAAGTTAACGAGATTTTCTTCATTTCTCTGAAACCTTTTATTCTCCTCAGAGTCAAAAACGAAGATCGAAAATCGGCTATGCCCGAAGAAAAAAGCGTTGGCTACATTTCAAGACCAATCTGAGTTTTGTAGCACGTAAAATAGCAGAGAAATGTTTGAATTACGCAATACTAGAAGACATGGATAAACATCACACTTGTTTATATTCTTATTTGTCTTTTCTTCTACACATTTACTGTACTGTGTCTTCTTATATTTGATGAGAAGACTATCTCTACCAAAAAGTAATATAGCTCAAAGTATCTTAGAACATCGAATTAGCCATGTATGAATTTTTTCAATAGAAATTATCAAATTAATCTGCCGAAATGAGATGTCCTAATCGCAAGTTTCAACAGCACGGCTAATCATTATTGTATCACGCAGGAGAACGAACTTTCTTTTTAAGGCCCTCTCACTTTAATTTTCGTTAGTACGTCACACTAAAAGTCACGGACACATAGGCGTTGAATTTTTTTTGAAACTTTAAGCTTTAGCCGAATTTGATGAAAAACACGCACAATCCGAGATAGAAGAGCCTTTAGAAAAAGTTAATTAAGACAAAAACTCGCTTGTTGACATAATTAGAAAACGCTGAATTCTAATTTTAGTCGCGTTAGATGAAGCATATAAAATTACACATACAGAACTAATTTTTAGACTTTTCTCTGGTCCTCTTTGTTACTTTTTCGCTGTTGAAGAAAAGTTCAACAAAAGAGTACTTCAGACTGACATACTTTTAGAGATATAAATGGTTATTTTCGTAGTGCAACTAAATCTCAATTTATTACAGACGTTTCAGTCGATTTTTGCCTTCATCAGTAGAACAGATTAAAAATATTTAAAACTGACATAACTGAGAAGAAATAAAATATCTGACACCAATAAAAATAAATCTAAAATAGTACAAAAATTTAACATAAACTGTCTTTATTAAGAAACCTTTTCATTTACATACATATTTACAGGCGATCTTTTTTCCAGGTCTGGAATAAATTGAGGTTTATGTCGACGCTTTTCATCTCTTAATTTGAGAAAGAAATGTACACAGTATTAAAGGAAATGTTATTTGCATGATATACATTAAAGAACTTGTAATTTAGTGTAAATAGAATTTCTATGAAATCAAACAATGTGTACTACGAAACAGCAAAAATAGTCATGTATGCAAAAAGCCGCTTAGGTATGAATTTATATCATTACCCTAATCGTGTTATTTCTTCTTAAAAAACATTTTGAAACGCTGCTGATTAGGGGTGGCACATTATTGTTACTGTTACCAGTAATACAAATATTGTATATATTACTGTTACTAGTAACAGTAATACTGAACAGTATTTCTATTACCAGTAACAGTAATACTAACCGTATTAGTGTTATCAGTAACGGTAATATTCATAAAATTAGTATTACTTTTCAGTAAAGTAATACGAGAAAAAAAATTCAGTAGGGGCGCCACTATCAACACGAAACCACCATATTATTTCTTATTGATTGTGGCGCCCCCTGTTGATTTTTTTCTTGTATTACTGTTACTGGTAACACTAATATTGTCAGTATTACTGTAACTAGTAATAGGAATACATGAAAGATTACTGTTACTGGTAACAGCAATATATACCTTTTAGTATTACTTTCCTCGATAATGTTATACATGAGCAATAGTAATACTGTCATCCCTACTGCTGATTCAAAGAAGCTGCTACGTTGATTTTCTAATTTCATGCATATCGAAGTTGTGGGACGCATGAGTACACCGGACTCTTAGGCTTACAAATCATACCATGTCTGATACATACCAGTCTGATACAATTCTGCGTTCAAAATAAGAGACTGGTAAGGTTGGTGTCCGTCCAAAAAGTAGAGTAGATGAGCTTTTACAAAAATACAAAACAAAGTTTAAATAGATATTGAGTTATTTTCAGTATACTAAATATGACTTGTACACATTTTATTCGTACTGTTCAACAGTGCAAAAAAAACATGCAATATTACAAAAAGATATTTCAAAAGAAAAATCGTTGCTTTTATGTGTTGAATTCTTTTCAAATTTCGTTCAATTGTAGAGCATTCAGTTTGGCAGTAGATGACAGAGTGCTAAGGTAGAGTCAATGGCGGCGCACCAGCAAGCAACGGGTTAGCAATTGCTTCTCCTAAAAAAACTTGGGGGAAGCAATAAACTTTTATTGCTTCCTCAAAATTTTGGCGCTTTTCAGTATATTTGCTAGAATAAAACTATCTAAATCAACC